GAAGTCTTTCTTCCATTGAGTGGCTGACGTTCATCGCTGGCATCGGATTGAGCAGGACAGCACCTACCTGACAGTCCACCATGGCTCCCTATATGGAAAACAGGAAAACGAAACCAAACAAAAACTTACGTCAGAGGATCTGGGAGAAAGTAATATGAAATAATGAATCATGACCACCTACTGTAGTGCCTGGTATGTAATAGATGCCCCAGAAATCTTGACTGAGTAATAATCTTCATTCCTTAAAGATTGTTATGATAATTCAATGGAAAGAGAGACCAACATGGAAAAGCTAGTTGGTGGAATGAGAGGATGGTCTCTTCGGCCCTGCCTCCCTTGCATCCTGAGAAGCCTGAACAGGCCGTCGGCATCTTCCCTTGTCTGGTAGCTGGGACCTTGTGCGTTCTTCCTCTAGGGCGCTGGTGTTCTCGTGTCCCACAACTCGTGGACTGTCAGAGCATAAACACATCTATTTTGCAAGAAGTAAAGCCAGAATGTTCCTTAGAAGTGAGGATGTACTTTGGACATCTTATCAGGAGACATCAGTCTTTGGAAAAAGACAACATGGTTGGTAAAAGAGAGGGGCAGCAAAAGGAAGATGCTCAGTGAGCTAGATTGGCACATGGGCTACAACAATGTGTGCAAGCCTCACCACTGAGAGGACAGTGAAGGGCCAGACACGGTTGCTTTCTCTTGTACAGAGAGTTGCTCTGACTCACTGGCACCAAAAGACGATGACAACAATGGGATGGATCCCTGGATTTCCCAAGGGGCTCTTAGATGGCGTAGTGACTAAGATGCTGGCACTTCAATCCTACTCAGAGATGTCGGGGAAAAGGCCTTTCCCCCTGTCTCCTGAAAGCCACAGCCTTGGAAACCCGGAGGAACGGTTCTACTCTGCCCACCGTGGGCCACCGTGGGCCAGGGGCAACACAAGGTTAATGGGAGAAGGTGTCACTACATTCTAGACCCCTCCTAAGTATGCTCCCTATCCTCAAGGGATGTTGTTTTAGGGGCCACGGACCTGGGCCCAACCCAGAGACCCTCTGTACAAAGGAACGGCACATCGCCACATCCCGCCCCGTCCTCACAATGGTTCCTCTTCCTGAGCCCACTGCTGCAGCCGCTGTCAGTCTGTCTCCTTGAGGGCCTTCCTGTTTTCGCTGCTCGACTTTACCAGACACGATGTCCTTCTGCAGGGACTGCTCTCTTCTGATTGTATGTCCTGAGCATGTAAGCTGAACTCTCGTCATCCTTGCCTCTAAGGAGCACTCTGGATGTATTGCTTATAAGACAGACTGTTGTTTCTTTTTAACAGTCTACGGTACTTACAAGATTCTTCTCCAGAACCACAATTCAAATGCCTCCGTTCTTCTTTGGTCTTTATTCAACGTCCCACTTTCACTTGCATGTGAAAGGGAAACCACCATGGCTTGGGTCAGGTGCAAGTTAGTCCTCAAAGTACCATCCCTGCTTTTCAATACTCTAAAGGGGCCTTGTGTAGCAATGCATCTCTCTCTTGATTGCTGGCTCCATGAGCAGATTGCAGATGTAAGCAAGACAAATCCTTGACAACTGCAACCTTTTCTCCATTTATCATGACATTACCTACTGGCCCAGTTGTGAGGATTTTGCTCTCCTTGGATTAAGTTGTAATCAAAGGAGGGGGAAAGAGAAAATCAATGGGTAAGAAATTGTAGTTTCTAGGATTGGTGCTAATGTTTCCAGTGGGGCAGTCAGGACTATAGGGAGGAGGTCTCTCCTAATGTGGGGGTTTAAAGACAGAAACCTGGATGATTAGTCTAAGGGATCTGTAAGGTGCTATCCACCCCTCTAGTCTGTGATTATAAGAATGTAAACAGAATTTTAGTTTCACCCTATAGCCTTTTGTTTCTCCAAGTCCACTACCTGAAAAAGCAAAAACTAGAAAAAAAAAAATCCCCCCACAAAATGCAAAATAAGGAGAAAGATGAGAGCAACCAGTAATCTGCAGGCCTTGACTATTTGAGCATTTGGGGGAAATACAGGCACTTTAAGGACGCAACATGTCCTTAATACTCTCTGAAGTCTCATCTTTTTCTAGAATTGTCTTTCCCCCAACACCCTCTCCTTCCACCTACAGTATCTTTTCTTCCAAGAAACATCATTGAAGAATTGGGTTTGGAATCAGTCCTGACCTGAATATTGGGTATGTCATATTTAGACCTTCCACTTCCTTATTGCAAACTGAGGGGACATACTGATGGGGATGCCGTCACAGTCTTGTGGAACTCAGTCATCCGAAAGAGCAGGCCCATAAGGAATGCGCAGACCTGCTGGGCCCCTTCTGCTCCCATCTCATCTCTTGCTGCAGTGCAGAATGCCTGTGCCACATACAGCGGAGCGGGGAGAGGGGCTCAGGTGCCGGCGGCGGCATCAGCAGCAGCAGGGCTTCCCTCAGCTGCAAAAGGGAGACTGCTGATACTGAAAAAGTCAAGGCTGTGCCTGCTGAGTATCCAAACCTTAAAAAATGACCAAAGTTCTGAGGAAGCTATTTTTAAATGGCTTCCTGCTGCGAGACAAGCTTTATGGGGAGGTTTATTTCCGGCCCATTGTCACTCCCCCCCACTCCCCTCTACCTGCCCTCTCGCATTCTTTTGGGTGTTTATCCCCATCTGCTGGTACACTAGGAAAGAGACGCCTTACACACAGATGCACACAGTGTTAGTAAGCTTGGTGTTCAAGCACCATGCAGAGGTTCAGGACAGAACTGAGATCTGGGAGGAGAAAGAGGAAGTTTCTGGAACCGAAGATCAACAGGGCTCCCTATTAAGTAAGTGAGATGTTATTTTTAGTCCCAGCATGAGCTGTTTTGCTTTTCTTCCTCAAGTCAGCTTCTCTTTAAAGAGAATTTCTGGTATGGCCACTGGTCTGATCAGAAACCCAGAGAATGGTAACAATTCACACCACATCTGGGGCTTAAAACATCCATCGTTTAATGTGCTCGGGAATTGCCGTTGGGGCAGGGCTGAGCACCGTGGCTTACCTGTGTCCCAGAGCATCAGCAGAGGCAGTCTGAAGTTGAGAGGGAGCCACTTAGAGGCTGAGGCTGGGATCATCCGAAGGATTTCTCACACACGCATCTACAGGGGATGGACGTGGCCCAGGAAAGGCAGTCGGCAGGCATATGTACATATGTCTCTCTGTGCGGCCACTTGGCTTCTTTAGAACAGAGTAAGTGGGTTCCAAGGAGGAGCAACCCAGCAAGAGTAGGGATGTTGCTCCACACCTTGTGACTCAACCTTGGAAGTTACTTACCCCACATGTTAACACTTGTCCTGGACCAGTTGGACTCAGCAGGAGGGGACACAGACCCCTCCCCCTCAGTGAGAGGAGTGTCAGCATCCTGCTCTACGAAGAGCATTTGGGATGGGAGAGCTTGTTTCGGCCAGCAGGAAATCAGCTCTTTGTTACAGATAGGAATTTGTAGAAGTATGGAGGGAGGGGCTTGTTTGAGGATTGAGGGAGAGAAAGAGTTATATTTATAATGGAAACAACTTACAAAAATTGGAATAATTGGGGTGGGGCAGTAAAGAAACAGTAGTGTAATTGAAAATAGAGTTTTTTTAAAAAAAACAATAAACCAAAACACCCCAACAACGTATTTATTTGGGACGCACTGTAAAATGAAGAACGCAAACTATTTTTACACCAGAGGAGAGCCTGGCTCACTGCGGTTCTTCAAGATGATTCAGACACAGTGTCTTGCATTTCAAGTAGTGGGTTTACTTTTGTTGTATCTGAAAATTCTTTTGATTAAAGGAGGAAAGTGGGAATTTGGCTTGATTTACCCCGCCCCAAAGTGGTAACATGGAACATCTAATTTTGAATGGTCATCTTTTTCTTCAGCGACTTGAAATTTCACTTCATCAAATATTCAATCCAACATATCTTGGGGTCCAGTTCTAGACTCAATTATTTTTCTCAGCTTTCTCCTCTACCATAATAATACCCCAACACATGAACTTTGGAGTTAAACACTAATTCAGAAGCTGCTTACAACTTAACCCATTTGAACTCCTTTTGTTTCAGTTTTCCTGAGGACAGTCATCTTACGTACCTCCTTGCGTTATGTTCAAGCTTCAGTGACTTGATGTGTTGTGCACAACTGCTCAGCAGAGTGGATGGCACCTGCACAGGCCAGGTGCTCTGGGAAGCAGACTGGGAGGTGGAGGTAAGTGTGCAGGAAGATGACGTGGAAATGCCCTTGGGATTGACACCTGTGGAAGGGATAAGCAAGCAGCCGGGGTGGGCAGATGCCCACCCCATCACCTCAGCTCACCCTGTGGGGAACCTGGGGCTCAAGCAGCCTTTCAGAGCTGTCCTGATAGGACATCTTTATACGCTCACATGGATCAGTCACTGCAGGTGGGCCATTGTGGAAATGGGCGTGACCTGGGATGAGGTGGCTCTGTGTAGCTGAAGCAATCCTGAAGGAGTGGCCGAGCAGAGGCTGTTTGCAGCGTGAACTCCCAGTAGCGGAGGCTGACAGAGAACAAGTCCTCTGTTATAGAGGCATCTTGGCTGCACATTGCATGTCCACCATACCACCTCACTCAAACACGTTGGAGTTTTTCCTCTTCTTTATTCTCAATGCTTTTGAGTAATGAGCACTTCAGCCAGGCTTCATTTTGGAAGGTTCCTGGTCCGAGACCCTCCTGTATGCTGAAGCTTCAGCGCTTCACGTTGCATGACAGTTTCGAGAAGATTATGAGTTTTATGAGCTACAGGTGAAGATCCGGCGAGATGGTCTAAATGAGATGCGCCGGCTAAGGATTTGACAAATGGAACACTTCCAATATTGGTCTAAAACAAACCCAACATTTTTTTCATACCTCAAAAGATTTCCATTTCTGGAATCCTAAAGGAGGATTTGAATATGATGGATAACCAGCCGATGGGAAGGCCCCCATGACTGTTATGAATCGTCTTAGAAAAGGATTGGCAGAGATCAAACCAGCTGAGGTCAACAATTTGCTTTTCCTTTTATTATAAAAGTAAAATAAAAAATAGCATTTATAAATCCAACATTTCTCCTTAAAGTATTTGATCTAAAAAACATATTTACAATAGCAAAATGCAGAAAAGGGATAGAGACCATTTTCAGCACTGATTGTAACCATGTTTAAATATTGACATGTACATTTTTCGAAATCACCGAGATAACCACATTGGGAAAAGCAGAAAGCCTTTTTAATTGTTCACCGAGTGACTGCCACTTAAAAAATATCCCTTTTATCCTTAATCTGGATGCACAACTGTCCTGCGGACCGCTAGGGAGGGCTCTGCGTGGGGACTCTGACACCTTGTAATGACAGTGGGGATGCAGCAGGGGGCAGCAGCGATGACGACAGGAAGCAAATGGAATCCAGGGGCAGCTTGTGAAAGCTCACGAAGCCATCTCCTCCCCAACGATGCTTCCGCCCAGCTGAGCGCTGCGCTTGCTAGAGACGGACTACCTGGAAGCGAACTGAATTACGGATCAGGGAAGAACCAAGAAAGGAAGCCCATTTAGAATGTGTTCTTGAATGAGATCCAGAGCGATTCGGGCTGGCTGGCTTCCCTCTGAGCACCTCTGGATGCACTTGCAGTTCCTGCTCGCGGACAACGCAGTGGAATTGCTTTGGTTTGCACCGTGTCGACATCGCCGCCGCCGCCGCCGGTTACACGTTGCCTTCTATCGAGCCTTGCTGCCCATGATCACGGGGCAGTTTGTTCAGAGTTAGCACTGAGCTGCTGCCGGCCAGAGATTCCGAGAAGCTGAGCTTGTGGAAGGAGGTCTCCACGCCGCTGTCACAGATGCTTTCGTTGTCCCGGAGCTCATCTGAGGGGAGAGAGTTCAAGGTCACCAGGGCCAGGCAAAGGCAGCGCTCTCACACACCTCACCAATCTCACTGCTGTCAAGCCAATTCCCACTCACTGTGACCCTGTAGGCAGTGCAGAACTGCCCCTGTGGGTTTCTGAGACGTTAACTCTTTACAGGAGTAGCAAGCTCAGTCTTCCTCCTTTGGCTTGCCGGTGGTTTCGAACTGTTGACCTTGTGGCTAGCAGCGCAATGCGTAACCACCACACCCCCAGGGCTCCCCCCACATCCTGCACTCTCTATCGAATCCAAAGCCACTCCCACTGAGTTGATTTTGACTCCGCTGGCCTCCAATTGGGGTCTGAAAGGCACCTGCAGAGGAAATCCCACCCCCCCCACCTTCCACAAATCACCGCGTCCCTCCACGCAGCTCCCTGCTCTTGCCGACTCTTCCAGTGGTAGAAGGGGCAGAAACAGTCATGTCATCGTAACTGTTCTGACGTTCATATCAACCAATCAATTCCTATTATCATCTACTACTGATCTACGAACTGTGGCGTCATCAGCACATGCCACACGTGTGCACCTTTCCACTGGAATCGAGCTGTCATGGGTTGGATAGCGTCACCCCAAATTCGTGTCCTCATGGAAGCGCAGAAGGGGCAACTGGATCTTTGAGATGCGCTTACTCACGCACGAGCAGGGTGTACTGGGCTAGAGTGGGCCCTACAGGCCAGTTAAGACGATCTTTGTCAGAAGAACAGACTTGGAAATGGAGACGCAGAGGAGACTCGGCCACACACACACAGACGGCAGACAGTCTCGTGAGGATGGCTCTAGGGGATGCCACGACAAGCCGAAGGGCACCGAGTTTGCCGGCAATCTCAGGGTGCTAGTCAGAGGCAAGGGCGGAGTCTTCCCCAGAGGGAGCGTGGATGGCCCTGCTGGTGTCTTGAGCGTGGATGTCTGGGTTCCAGAATGGAGAAGAGAGGACTCAGTGAGAGAGAAAGCGTCTGCTGCTTTAAGCCGCCCGGTTTGGGGCACCTGGTAATTGCAGCCCGAGGGAAGTGCGGCACAGTTAGCCTTAGTTTGATCAGAATCCTTCCTGAGGCCTCTTGACTCAAAGCGCACTTTTTCTTTTCTTAGAAATTAGGTGTTTTTCCGACCACCGAATTACCTACTTTATAGCTGGGGAAATTGCTGAGCTTAGGCAAAATAAATTGGTGACAGAAGCAGGAACTAGAAACAAGGTCTCTCTGTGGCCTCGTGTGCTATCACGCCCTCTCCACTGTCTCGAACACAGTTGGGTAGCAGAATATAAAGTGAGTATGATGACACTGAGCCTACATGGAGACTCAGGACCAATTCCCCGCGTTAGAGAAGGGTCGTGAAGGTTCTGCAACACGAGTGATGTCCTACCCAGAGACAGTGCCCAGTGAAACACAAATGTGACATATTCACACACAGTAAATGTGCTGTGTTCTTACACGTTAAATTCTAACATCCGAATATTTCATCAGCATGGCCACTGACTCCTAATTCATGAATTTATACAGCCCACCAAGGTTGTTCTTTTAAGTATTTAATTTGTGGTAGGCACTGTCAAGTACTTTGAAGTAACTGTGAATTAAGGACTTGGGTCCCTCCCACTGTCCCCATGCTGCAAGTACTTACTGGTTTCTTTGGGTATTTGTGTGTTCGGGACACCAGGCCACGAGAATCAAGAAAGTGGGTCATCTTCCTGATGGACACGTTACTTTCTGAAGTGTTTCTCACAGTGAAGCCCGCCCTGGGGGCAGGTGCCATGACACCAAGATGGAAAGGTAAGGAAGGTCCAGCAAGGGGGAGAGCTTTCCAGAGAACAAGACTATGCGAAGGCCTCAAGGTCAACCAGACTCCTGAACTGGGAACTGGTAGGTAGTTGGGTGGGAGGAAGAGGGCATTTCAGTGATGTTAAAGACAGAGAAATAATGATGTCTCTACTGTTCACTGCTTTATCACCTAAGCCTCAAACAGTGCCAGGCACAGTAAGGGGCTGTGAATAAAGGAATGAATCGGAGGACGGGTAACAGTGATTTAGATTTTAAACGACTCTCTCCGTCTGCTGTGCAAAGATGGCTTGAAGGAAGGTAGAGAGAATGGCCAGAGGGAGACCAGTTAGGAGCTGCTGCGGAAGATGAAGGTGGATGAGCCAGAATGCACGCAGAGGGGAGAAGTCCTTGGTGGATTAGACGTGGGGTGGTTACAGCAGGGACGTTGTCACGGGAATTCTGAGACTTCTGCCTTAGGCAGCGCGAGGCAGGTAGTGACTGACCATCCTGGCCACTATGGAGTTGGGGTAGGACTTTCAGGACTTGGCTCTGGGTGCTGTGACTTCACAAGGGCAGCACGGAGGTGGCTGTGAAGGCAACCACGCAGGAGAAGCGACAGGTCAAGGTCAGAAGACATGCAAATGAGGTTTAGAGTGATGCTCTGAAGTAGGAGGAAGTGGTTTGGGGCTGTGCCGCCCCTTGCGAAGGGCTGAGAGGG